ATGTTATATCCATGGATATTTCCGTATAGAAAAAGCAACTGTAATCATCACTGTTAATGGATAGAGACCAAACATAATTAAATAAACATAAACCCAACTTATATGTCCTACGTAGGACCCTATATTTAACAAGTACTTGAACTAAATAATAAGAAGTTTTTAATTCATGATTCAGAATAGCACATGTTTATATACATACTAATCTTCAAACGTTAATTAATGTGATAGTGCTTCATTTATTTTCAATACGAAATCTTATTTATTATGCCGCATCAGTTGTTGTGTAAGATGTAATAAGGTAATGTCTTTAATAATTGTGTATTTTTCCCTACGTGTGCAAAAAAGACTGGATTGAATCTAAATTAGAGAAAGAAAAATAAACAAAAACTTTGAATGGCTAAATGTAATTGCAGAGTCCCAAAGCTGATAAAAAGCCTGAAGCTAGCCAAGCCATCACTCATCTCATGCATAGAAGATTGGGCTCTTTGGAAACCAAATCAAACGGCTAAGAAAGGTAGCAGAGAGTGAGAAGGCTTATCTGCTGTCTGACTTCACCGAATGAATGTAGAGCAAGAGAGAGAAAGAGAGAGAGAGAGAGAACAAAAAACAGAGAGAGACTAGTACAAAACGTTAGAGCGGGACCAGCCCGCCATTAATGCAGTACTCCCCACCTTCCATCTCAGCCAACTCTCTATCTATTTTACGCATCAAACTCAAATCAAAAAAGCTTTGGCAACTTGCTCTCCGCTGAGAAAGTTCTTTGTTTGAGCACCGTGGGCATTAGCCCAACACTAAAAGCATAAACCCACCTCACTCTTTCTTTGTCTCTCTGTGATTAGATTTTAGTTTTGGAAGAAAAGAGGTTGGTTTTCGGATTTCCTTTATGTTTGAGTTCATGGGTTTGTGTTTATTTTCTGTTTAGATTTAGAAAGTAAGTTATTTTTTCGTTTAAAAAACCAATCAAATTTGGGAAGTTTATCTTTTGTGGATGATACCCAACTTCTTTTTTTGTTTGGTTTCCATTGAAAGGTTTCTGCTTTTACTCTAGATCTGTCTGGTTTCACTGTTCAATTTTGAAGTTCATTTCAAGCGTAGTCAGCTTATGCAATCTCTGATCTGCAGGCAGAGAATTCTGAAAAGGCGGTTGGTTTTCTAGGGTTGGTGTTCATGGGGGTCTGCTTAAGCGCCCGAATCAAAGCTGAGAGCCCTTGTAATACAGGTATACAGACTTCACGGCTTCTAATTATAACCCATGTGGCTGTACTTTTTTGTTTGTGTAGCTCTAACCATTAGTGTAAGTTGATTTTAGGAAATTTTATGGTTTAAATTTTACTCTCTCTCTCTCTCTCTCTCTCGTGGGGGGGGCAAATTCTGGTTGAGCTGTGTGTTGTGAGTTTTGGGGTTTTATCTAATAATAGGGTGCTCAGCTGGAAGTTGTTGATTTCTTTAGTACTATTACTGGGTGGGTGTGGTTTCCTGGGAACACTAACCTCATTTTGATTCCGACCCTGTTTTGGAAATTAGATTACCTCGAATAGTAATTATTTTCCCATGTTTACTTTGCTCTGTTTAGGTGCTAATAGATTCTCTTAAAGAGTCTCTTTGGTTTCCTTCAAATTGCAACCAAACTTTTATAAAATACAGCCAGACAAAGAGAGGGGGAGTTAGAATTCCTTTAACTTCTCACTAAATTTTTTAGCAAATATGGTGCGAAGGATTGAGTTAAGCGTGAATGGGCAATCTTATTCATACCTTGGTGGTGACTGTAAATTGATTTACACTTCACATTTACATGTGCAGGTGTGAATTCAAAAATCGTCAGCACTGATGGGAATCTCAGCACAAGCAGCAAGGTCTCATCATTTTCAGCGCCTCCAACTCCTCGGAGTGAGGGAGAGATCTTGCAGTCTCCCAATTTGAAGAGCTTTAGTTTTAACGACCTCAAAATGGCCACCAGGAATTTCCGTCCTGATAGTGTGTTAGGAGAAGGTGGCTTTGGTTCAGTTTTTAAGGGGTGGATTGATGAAAATTCATTTACTGCTGCAAAGCCTGGGACTGGTATAGTTTTGGCTGTGAAACGGCTTAACCAAGAAAGTTTTCAGGGTCACAGAGAGTGGTTGGTGAGTTATTTTCTCCTGATTATTTGATGCTCATCGTCATACTTGATTCTTTGATCTTATGCTTATAAGCAGAACCTCTTAAACACTCACTTAAGGTAGAGTTAGCTTACAACAAGCTAGGCATTGGTGCTTTGAGTTTCAACAAATTATCTTATGGGCGTTGGTGCTCTTAAGTGCCTACTAGAAAATCATTTGAGTTTAGCAATTTGAAGATAAATGTTTACTCCTTTTCTGTTGAAGATTAACTTATTGTGTGCTTTTATTTGGGTTTATAGGCAGAAGTGAATTATCTAGGACAATTCCATCATCCTAATCTCGTGAAACTAATTGGCTTTTGCTTGGAAGATGAACACCGGCTTTTGGTGTATGAATTCATGCCTCGAGGCAGCTTGGAAAATCATTTGTTCAGGAGTAAGTTCTTTCAGTGACAGCTCTGGATACCTTTGAAACAAGATGGTTTGAGTTATTTATGTATTGAAAATTTAAACCGCTACTGTACCAGGAGGCTCTTATTTTCAACCTCTGTCTTGGAACCTCCGGATGAAAGTTGCCCTTGGTGCTGCAAAGGGGCTTGCTTTTCTTCATAGTTCTGAAACAAAAGTGATATACCGAGACTTCAAGACGTCAAATATCCTGCTTGATTCGGTATGTGACTACTGAAGGTGTTCAATACAATGTTATGATTACAGTTTTATTCAATGGATTCTGGAGATCTTTTGACTTCACTGAGAGCTTCCCTGAGTATTTCCTTCATGTGTGATATAATTCCAGAACTACAATGCAAAACTTTCCGATTTTGGTTTGGCCAAGGATGGGCCAACAGGTGATAAAAGCCATGTCTCTACTAGGGTGATGGGGACCTATGGATATGCAGCACCAGAATATCTAGCCACAGGTATTGTAAATTTTATATTAATTTCAAGTCCAAAACTGATTGAGAATCTTTTAGTTATCTGTTTTCGTCATCTTTTTCCAGTTGCTTTTGACCATTCAACTTAGAATCTTTGCCATGTGCTTTGATTCATTATTCTTGATTACCATTTGCTAAAATTGACGCCTATATCTCTTAATGATTCCATCTTTCACTAACTGAAGGTCATCTAACTGCCAAGAGCGACATTTATAGTTTTGGAGTCGTTTTATTGGAGATGTTATCTGGCCGGAGAGCAGTTGACAAGAATCGACCATCCGGGGAACATAATCTGGTAGAGTGGGCTAAACCCTTCCTGGCAAACAGGCGTAAGATCTTTCGCATCATAGATAACCGTCTAGAAGGTCAGTATTCAATGGATGGAGCTTATAAGGCAGCTAGCCTTGCTTCACGGTGCCTATCCACAGAATCCAAGCTCAGGCCAAACATGGATGAGGTTGTAACAGCACTGGAACAACTGCAAGACAATGAAGGCGGTCAGGGCAATGCAAGCAATGGGCAGAGGATGCGAAGACGAAGTGCAGATGATGCTATCAGAGCAAAGCGTGCAGCAGCGGACGATGCTAACAAGGCAGCTAACAAGTCAAGGAATACTGTCGCTTATCCTCGGCCCTCTGCTTCCCCTCTTTATGCGTAAGAATGGAGTAAAAGAAAATGGCAAAAGCTGCAATATAGAAATGTTTGCCCAGTGACTGTACAGTTTATTCTGGCAAATGTTATTCAAATTTCAACCCTCCCTTTGACAAATTATTAGGTGAGCTTGTAAAATGAGCAATGCCACGATGTTGTGTCTTCTGAATCACCAAATTGTAACATTAGCTTCGAAAAGTAGGGATGGAAGTGCTTTTGTATGACTAGATGTCCATTTTTCTCCTGCACAGGGTTGCATATGGTTTTATTTTTTGACCTTTTCTTTTATTATAGGTGGGTCTGTTTGGCGTCCTACCGGTATTAGTTTGTTGTATTATGTTTGTGTTTCTATCCCAAAGAAGGAAAGGGAAATAAATTGATGAGCCTTTTAATATTTGTTAAATTGCAGAGAGTTGTCAAAATAAGCACAACGTCCCTTGGATAGAGAGATTATATTATTTAAAAATTACATTATAAAAAAGCCCCCAGTGCATGGTTAAATTGCTTAATTTGATGATAAACAACACAAATTTGTGAGAAGAAAAAGAAGCAGTGCATGGATTTCAAATGGACTCATCAAATCCAATGCAGTTCAATTTCTTTCTAATACATGCACATAATTTGAATGGCCAAGAATTCTATAGTGAGGGCCTTATACATAGCCCGTAAATGAGGTCTTATCTCTTAATCGTTGGATCAGACTAACTAATTTGATCCAATAGCTATGAAATAGGGCATCACCTAAAGGCCATATATAAGCCCTCACTATATAATGGGAGTCTACTACTAGCTGGTGATTTCTTGGGCTTAGTTAGGCCCAAAAGAAATTGAAACCAAACAATCAAAAATAGCAGTGCTAAAAATTGTTGCTCTCGTGCGTGAGTAATACCTAACTGTTCGTGGCATGCGCGAACGGGTGACTCTCAGCCTTCCATGCATTGTGCGACCCACTTACATAGACGGTTAAGAGACCTGGAACCCATTTTGTGATGTGAGCTCGTCTTTATTTGAATTCTTCTTTGATTGTGAGCGACGAGTCACATCTAACACCCTACAAAAACTCTTACATCTCCCACTAGGCAGAAATTATAAATATCACCACATCTGCTAGTACTTTGTAAACCTAAATAACAGAACATTTTGGATTACAAAACACATTTAACATTGGATTGCCTCTATTCACGCTCACCACTAGGACGGTGATACTCATTACGGGGGAGAGCATGAATTTGCGCCTCATTTTGTGTAATACAGAAAAAAGGATGCATGCCTCTAAAGTGCAGCCTCCTTTACAAATTATATTTACAACCATCTGGCTATTCACGCTCACCACTAGGACGGTGATACTCATTACGGGGGAGAGCATGAATTTGCGCCTCATTTTGTGTAATACAGAAAAGGATGCATGCCTCTAAAGTGCAGCCTCCTTTACAAATTATATTTACAACCATCTGGTAAAAAAGAAAAAAATGGAGAAGAACCTCATACCTCTATTAGCTTTGAAGAACAAGCATCTATTGTCTTCAATGTGAAGGTAGAAATGCACCCATCTTTCATTTCCGACAACGAGCAAATCAAATGGATGAAGCTTTTTTTTTCTTTTTTTTCTTCTGCCATAAACTTGGCTGATAGCTTAATCACCAAGTTCTTATCGGGGTCCAGTTTCTCCAATCTAGCTTCCCAATAGATTTGTTTCTAAAGTTTACCATTTCTCTTATATCGAAAACCCTTTTTTTGTTTCCATGTTTGGTAGTCTCGATCTCGGTCTCCTCCACAGTTTCTTCCTTTGCTTCTTCTGTTTCAATAACAGGTTCAGGGACAACCTCATCTTGAGATGACAGCTCATCTATGATGCTTCCTAAAACCACAACCACCTCACTCATTTTTGGGCGAGACTTCGGTTGTTTTGATAGACACCTGTTAGCTAATGATGCAAGTTTTTGAGCTGATTTGATGCAAAACTGTCCTTCAAGCCGAGGGTCCACAATGAGGTGGAATTTCTTCGAGTCTGAAACATAAGGCCTGACCCATTCCAAAAGCTTCTGCTCACTCCGTGGCAAATTTCTCTCCACCGCCCTCCTTCCTGTGATGAGCTCAAAGAGAACCACTCCAAAGCTCCATACATCACTTTTGGCAGTCAACCTCCCAGTTTGTACATATTCCGGCGCCGCATATCCTATGGTGCCCACAACCTATAAAAATGAATGTTCATTGTAAGCAATGCACTGCACATAATAGCAGACTTACAATCCGCAAAAAACAAGCAAAGAAGTCAGAAGTTATCATTAATAGGTTCCATTTCAAAAGAGGGCCTATAATATTCAGACAACCATTTACTTTTTTTCCAATGACTTTGTGATTGTGTCCCAACATGTTAAGATGATGATATGCCCAAATACACTGTAAAAAGATAAACCTTCTCTGCTCAAAAGATAATACAACTTACTGATGTAGAAACATGACTCGTTCCCTCTGGAGGTCCCTGCCTTGCCAGTCCAAAGTCCGAAAGCTTTGCATTGAATTCCTCATCTAGCAGAATGTTTGACGGTTTAAAATCGCGGAATATTAGCTGCACCAATTATAAGGCAGATCCAAATCATATTGACTAGCGAGCAGTTGAGAAAGTAACCTAAAGAAAATATAGGCCACTGAATATGAGAAAAGTGGCGGAGGCATTTACTTGCAGATATAATCTGTTATAAAAAAAATCAAAAAATTTAAGTACACAAGGGAACAAGACTACAGACAATTGATCTATATCTGTACTTTAGATAATGAAAACGTAAGCATAAATATGTATACGATCCAAACATGGAAACAAAAGTTAGTGGCAATTTTGTTAAAACATACAAGAAGGTACCTGAAAATCCATTTCTTCATGCAGATACGCCAATCCACGGGCTGCGTCTTGAGCAATTTTTAATCTTGTCATCCACGGGAGAGATGATGGAAATCGAACCAATAGATGGTCCTCCAAGCTTTTATTACGCATAAGTTCATAAACCAGAAGCCGTTGAATCCCCCTTTCATCATCTTCTGCACAGTATCCCACTAACTTAACAAGATTTGGGTGCTTGACAACGCCCAATAAGTTTACTTCATTAATCCACTCCTTATGCCCCTGAACACTAGAATGGAAAATAGCGTAAACCTCAAAAAACTTGGACAACTACAATTCCAAACATAAAACTTGTAAAGTAAAACTACATCTGGAACCAGTCACTAGTCAGATTCTCCTATGAGCAAAACATACTTGTAAATCTATACAACAACAGTTAGTTAGTACAGAATCTATGCTCTAACAAGCTTTACACTTTAACATCATATTCCTTTCTAGAACAGTTGTTTATTGTTAAGATATGCCATTTCCCAGCCTGTATTCAAGCAATGTAACTGAAATGACACCACAAATCCACCTTATCTAGAATTCAAGCAAACTTTTCCACCCCAACCCCACAAACTAACAAAAAACCAAAACAAAAAAGAACCAAGAAAGCAATAGTCCCAGAAAAAGCAGAAAGTGAACACTGAACAAGATTGATTCCCAAACAGTTGAAATGAAAGGCTTCAGCCATTCAAAAAAAGTTCTAAAATTGCTTCATAAAACTCTGTAAAATAATAATCCAAAGCAACACTTTAATTGTTCGAGTGAATAAAAATCGAAAACTTTCACAAACCCATAATTTTTTGTTGACAATAACAAAGCCAAAAGTTCAAATTTCAATATAAAGAAGAAAAAAAGGGATCAAGGGGGCATGCCTGGAAGCCATTACGATTCAACTGTTTGATAGCAACGTCCATTTTAGTGGCATCGTCGTCAGAGCCCTTGACGATCCCTCTGTAAACGCACCCAAACCCTCCTTCCCCAATCAGCAGGGCCCTACTGAACCCTCTGCTTGCCGACTTGAGCTCCGAGAACTTGAACACCCTCAGATCATTGGCTCGCCGCAGGCTCAGCAACTCCTGGAAGGCGACCGAGTCGGACAGGTTCCTCGCGTCCGAGTCGAACTCAGACCGCCGAGTGGTGTCGTAGCTGCTGGAGGCCACGCTGAGCGAACGCGCCCACGACACCTTCGACGCCGCCCGACAAACGATGCCGGGTTCCTCGTCGTCCCGCCTCTCCCCATTAGTGAAATGGAAGCACTTCATCTGCCCCAAAAAGTCTGAACGAACTTCCCAAGTTGCAGAGAGAGATAGCGAGAGAGAGAGTCAAGAGAGAGGGGCTTGGAATTGGATCACAAGTCACAAATTCACAACGACGAAGTTGGAAATATTTTTTTATATATGTTATTTTTCTTCAGACCAGAAAAAGAAAGTAGGAAATAGTTTTTGTCTTTGTATTAAGCAAAATTAGGCGGCGATTTTGTTGTGAAAAAGGCAGAAGCGAACAAAAAAAGTCGGTAGTTTTTCTTGTTTTTTTGGTAAACTTTGTGTTTCATTTTCAAATAAGGGAAATATTGGAGCAAAATAGTTGACACCATTGAGTTTTAAGTTGTCGAGCCATCATCAAACTTTATTTATTTTCACTCAATTGTATAGCATACTTACCTTTTTTAACTATATGAATTGTATAGTTACTTATTGCATAAATACACTAACACCTCTTGAGATTTTCAGTGTTTTCACAAAACTCTTTGAGGTTTTAAAAATTACACGAACACCTTCTAAGGTTTCAGATTGTTTTCACAAAATCCATTTTCGTTGACTGCTCGTCCAAAAATTGATGATTTTATTACCAAAAAAATGTATGCAAATGACAAAAGTAACCTTAATGAATGAATGTGCAATTTAATTTCAAAGGCTAACTTTGTCATTTGGATAAATTTTTTAATATAAAATTACCAATCTTTGGATGAAAAATCAATGCAAATGGGTTTTGTGAAAATAATTTAAAACCTCAAGGGGTGTTTGTGTAATTTTTGAAACCTCGAGGGATTTTGTGAAAAACCCCAAAACTTTAGGGGGGGGTGTTAGTGTAAATAACACTAAACATAATAATTATACGCAAGAGGCTTGTAGTTTAAGTGATTAAGAATAGTTATCTCTACACCCGAAATCTTCAATTTGAATTTGTGTCTCTAATATCGCATGCATAAAAATATTTATACAAATTATCTTTTATTATTACGAAAAAGGAGTACAATAACTCAAAAAATAAACACACAATGTCCAAGATAAAGAATCATACAAACTCAATCCTGGTATGAAGAGACAAGAAAAAACCGGAAGCTTTCTAGCTGAATGATCAACACAATTCAAATTAAAAGCGAAATAGAAAATTAAAACTAATGATCATTTATTTGAGAGCGATTTAATTTTTATTTTGTTTGATGTTCAAATTTCATAAACGAGGATTGTTAAATAAGAAATTTTTTTAAAAAAAGATTGTTGTTTTTTGTGTTTTGGAATTGAAAGCCCAATCGAGAGCCCATTGTCGCTTTAGTAGGATGAGTCAGAGTGGATCACGAGCGACTGCAGAGTTTGTTGCTTTGTAGGATAGTGGAGGGCCCGCGTGGTCGCTGAGGGGTAAAAGAGGAATTTTACGTGTCTGCTCTTGTTTTGTCTTTTTGATTGGGTCAAGTTGATTGGTCACTTCTAAGTCTAACCACGTCATTGTCCTCAAACTTTTCAAGCTGTCCATTCCTTCTAGAAATGTATTTCCGCCAATGACCAAACCATATTATTTCCGTTTACAATATATGCATAAATTCTTCTTTATTTTATTTTCATACCATGGATGGATGTGTCTCAACGACACTATTAAAATCCTAGATTTCTGTGTTCGTGTATCGGGTGCTTGCTAGAATAATATTTAAATTAATGATCACATAACATATAGTATGTCGAATGTCGTATGAGGAATGCTAATTACATTTTATTTTTTATTTTCATTTTGTAATGTCAGGATTAAAACCGTCCGTTTTGGAGGTCATCTTTCAAGAATCATTCATGTTAAAAATCAACCGAATTGGAAGTCGTTTAGTCATTTGATTAACAATGTGATAATTCAATGTATAATCAAACAACTGGTTGGTTTATTTATTTGATGACTAAATGATTTCTAATTTTGTTGTTTTTTTATTATTAAATAACATTGCACAATAAGAACGAGAAAAGAGAAGGTACATAAATAAATACAACTATAATATTCCTCATTTTAAACTTCTCCATTTGTATCGTGTACCGTTATCGATTATACCTTCTACAAAATCACCAAATTACAAGATCAAGATTGCTTGTATCACAAAATTCTACTAGAAATTCCATGATCAGTTTCATCTTGCTTAAAGTTTACTAGTAGCAAAAGTAAAAAATGCGTTTAGGCAATAATAATGATGCGCAACAGAGTTGTGTAGGGGGGAAATTCACTAGCAACAAAGTTAACTGTAAATCATTAGAGGGGGACAATACAACCTTCGTAAGCAACAATTACAATTATAGACTTGTGTAAAGGAAAACAACAAAACAGGGGAGTTGCGCCAAATACAAGGGAAAAAAGAAACATGTATAATCTACCGCAGTGATAATGTAGTCTTCAGTCTTCCTTCCCAGCATTACAAGCAACACCCCACATCGATTAACCCATTTGATTCGCGGATTGAACTTATTGAGAATAAACTTCCTAAAACGCTACTACAATAAACCCATTCAACATTAGTCAATCAATTCTATTTACATCCATTGTTTAAAGAGCTAAAAGAGAAATGAAATATTCTATACTATTTATATGAGCCAAAGCCATGATATATACTAAATATTCGAACTGTGCAAGCTGTTGTTCTAGATGACGTGCTAAACCCACTTTCTCAATCAATGTTGAAAATTGATATTTCTTCTCATATCAGCTGAGTTTCTGATGGAGTATTTTCCAAGTTATATGCAAAGTTTGTTCTAACTTTTTGTACAAGAACTGTCTGGATACACATGGGCTTGAATTTTTTATTTATTTTTTAATTTTTTTTTATGCGGCATGGGTCATGATTTGTAAATGTTTAATCCGGCGAATTTATAATATTAATATATTTTCTGTATGTACGAGTAATAATATTGAGATCGCCTACTTATAGGCTGCGTTTGATTCATGGAAAAGGAAGTTTGGAAATGAAAAATCAATTGCTTTCACATGTTTGGTAAGTCCATGCATGAGAAATAGTTGACTAACACATAGAAAAATAAGGGGGGAAATGTAACCCTCCTCCCCTTATCCCGTGTTGTCTTCACACTTCCATTTTGTTCATTTACACTACATCTTTTATGTTTATGCTTTGCTCCCCTTGGTTTATTGGCTAAAATATATTTTTGGTCACTGTCAAATTGATAAGTGTATTGAGAAAAATAGTTCTCTGATATATTGATAGGCCCAAAGTGGCTTGATATATATACAAGTTTTGCATAGATTTACAAGGAAACAAAATACTTGGAGCCTACGCTAACTCTTTTCAAACTAGGAAAGCAAATTGACTCCGTTAGCAATTTAATGACAATTTTGAAAATTTTCTCTAATTGGCTTCAATCACAACTAAAAACTTGTCTGAGCTCATGAATACATGTTGTGTATTTATCCGCATGTTGCAACATTTAAGCCATCTTAGTTATCTAACTGTCTAAAACTTGGAGTCAAAATAATTTTTCTCATAAACCGAATGCATTTTAAACGTTAAGTTGGAATCTGAATCGGTACTGTTCATCCGGTCCAATTCACATATAAATATAACATTATCCAATCATTAAACAAATGTCAAGTATCGTAAATTATTCAAAACTTGCATACAAATTAATTATTTACGTGTGCATATGGTGTCGCCTTTAGAGACTTGGAATTGGAGTGGGTGGAGTAGTTGTCAAGCCAACCATCTTATTATTCTTTTCTAATTTGCAGAGAGGATAAATTCCGGCTTCTCAAAGTCATATAGAATTTCCAGTGATGACCATAATAAATTCTTCTTATTTTTTTATTATATTTCCTATCCAATTTAATATACAATAGTGGAACAGCTCAGGTATATAAACAAGAGTCTCAGGAACAAGAAGAGTCAAATTGAAAACCTTCGAGAGGGGCTATGTCACTAGCTGAGTTATAACTTATCTTTCATTGACATGGTCATCATTTGAATGTGTTTATAATTTTTATTTTATCGGTCTGAGTGAGAGATGTCACATTGTTTACAACACATCCAAATCCATAGTTTGATTCGTTCATGCCTAGAGGTACTTTTTCTCATCCAAATCCATAGTTTGTTTATAAAACTGTGCTTACAAAACTAACCCAAAAGTACTTAAAGACATTCACGCGCTTCAGTACAAGTAAAATCGTAAGAAAATAATCAAACACAAGACTTCAAAATTACTCTTAAAACCTAAAAATGAAACTTGTTACATCTCGCTTGAACTGTCATGACTTCAGTACTTGAAAAAGTCACTGCAAATCACTGCAAATCACCATAGTCGCCATGATGTAGTTGTCGCTTGGTCCACACACACAAGGTTTTGCTCCAGTTCTGAATTTGGAGTTGCAAAATTGAAAGTTGACGATTTATGTTGGATAGGGTTTACTCGATATGACGCCTCTAGTCTTTTCGACAGCTACCACAACCCTTTCATCCCAGTGATAGCAAAACCAGCAACACAATTAAGTAAAAGATCCGTCTGCAACATAAAGCCACCAAGAACCTACAAAAAACACATAAAACAAACAAACAAATTCTAAGATCCAAATAAATCTGGACAAGAGGGCCCAAGATCCAAACGGATCTGGACTCCAAAAGTCTCTCAAAAAAATGAGGGAGGGAAGACTGGAGGAGGGAGAGGGAGTTGGAGAGATGACAATGGAGAGAGAGGAGAGGGGAAGAACTAGGAAAGAGAAGGGGAAGGGAGGAGGCAGAGAGAGGAGAGGAGAAGGAAAGGGGTTGAGAAGCCACCGACTCCCAAAAGGGGCGGCTGCTGCGATATAATCTTTAGGGTTTTTTTCTCTCAACAGACCCAAGAGAGAAGAAAGAAAAAAGTTCTTAGCTTAATTGGATTCTTTGTTTCTAATTAATTTCACCCTTCCATCGTCACTATCACTATGCATAGCCGATAGGCTCACCTCTATCAGAACTATAGCTAGTATAGAGAAAGCTTGATCCTATAACATTATAGTTTTTGTTTTGCTATATCTAAAAGTCATTTTGCTCCATGTCAGTAAAGATTGATCAATGATCCCAAATCTCTAATATTATAGCTCCATAGATATTTTCCACTTAGGAAAAAATTACGTGTGATTGTAACACGTATTATATGAATAAAATATGAACAAAGTA